CTCCCCTCCCCGAAATCTAAAGATAAGATATCCGTAGAAGATTATATTCGATTAGCTAGTGGACTCGATGTAACGAATGATTTTAAGAAACCTTGGGTAAAAAGTTTCACCAGTGGAGTAGTTCTTCCAAAGGATGATGATAAACAAAAGAAAGTTTTTAGAAGTTATCTAAATTTCGTTAAGAGAAAAGCACCAAACAGTGAAGGAATCATGTATCCTTACAACGACGGAAAAGAATTGAACATAGATGAAAACTACGAATTTGATGATTTCGATTACCTTACTATTCAAGAAGAGAATGAAGAGTGTTAATTTTTTTGTTTTAAATGAAGTTGAATAACAATTTCCTCGTTACCAAAATCTATAAACCTATTTTTACCATCTTTAATTTCCAGATTTATATCTTTAATCATAAAGGAATTAAGTGGTAAATACGTCGTTTGAAATGGTTTCTCTATAATTCTATATCCTATCGGTACAGTGAATGTTGGAAGACTGTAAATAATCTGACGTTTGTATTTATTGAAAAATCCACCGTTTATCAAATTGCAATGTATATTTATCACATCGATATCATTCTCGATATTAGCTTTGTGTGGTGCTAAAGTGGATTGGGTGTACACTCGTTTATCAAATCCTAGTAACGTATTCAATGAATTTTCTACGTTGAAATCAACTTGACTATTATTTCTTAATATCAATTTTATTTTGTTCAGATTCAAATTACCTTCGAATTCAATATTGTTTTTGACACTTCCTCCATATTCAGATAGGTATTCGTTAATGGCTATGTATTCGTAGCTTCCTGGTAGTAAACGTATGGTTTTGAACGTAACATAAAAAATTCCACCTTAGCACAGATAGCAGCTAAAAACAGACTTTATGCCGAAGTACCTCCAGGTTTAAGAAGTGCTCCATGTTTGTCCAGTATATGCAAAACATGTCCCTTTATATCAGAAACTCATTATTTTGTAAGCAACTCTACGAATAAAAGGTACCCGATCCAGGAACATCTAACATGTGAACATTCGAATGTAATATATTTAATTTCATGCAAGAAATGCCCCAAACAATATGTAGGAGAAACTAAGAATAATTTACGAACTCGCTTTAATGCTCATAGGTCAGACATCAAATTAAAGAAAGACAAGCCTGTTTCTAATCATTTCAACCTCGACGACCATTCAATAGACGATCTCACCCTAATCCCAATTGAGCGTATAGAAATTGACTTGCTACCAAATTCTGTCAATCTAGGGAGGCCCATTGGATTGAGACATTGAATACAGCAAGACCTATAGGACTAATTATTCATCATAATGTAGGCATAGCACCCTTTGTTGTCCCGTTTAATACAACCAGCAATCGAGCAAGCAAGATAGTTCATGCCCACTATAAGAGCCTTCAAGAGAAATTCCCCCATGTCTATAAGCAGAAAATGATAGTTGCATATTCAAAAAATAAGAACTTAAATGATAATATTGTTCATAGTAAACTAAAAACAATCAGTACATAACAGATACTGTACTTCTCGCCCATCGGGCGAGTTATTTTTTCTAATTTCAGATCAGAATAAGAACAGAAGAAAACCCTTAATCCTAATTTCTAAATAAAGTGTCTGCTCCACCCTAGGCCTGTACATTTGGGAGAATCAAACCCTCCCTCCCCCGAAATCTAATTATTTGCAAAATATTAATTTCATATGTTCCTATCAACACGAATCATCTAGTTTGGCAGCTAGGGAAAATCATCTAATCTACCAATGAATTTGAGAAAGATCGAGGATGTTAATATTGCAAAATACTCTAAAGATAATTGGGAATCTTTAAGACACAAATGAGAACCTAAAAGAGATACGTTATGTCTCGGAGCTTGTTTGATAAATACAATCAAGCAATGAAAGAAGTTGTATTTCAGAATATTTCCAATAATCTAACAGCTCCTTCTTTATCTTTAAAGGGTTGGTATTATTTATATCATTACGATAAAGAAATGATTGAAGAAGAATGGTATGAAACACACCGAAAAAGAAAACGTAGAAAAAGTTTACTCACATACTCACCCTTTTATAAGATATTTTATCAGACAAAGTATTAAAGGAGGAAGAGTTTCGGCAAATCGAAAATCATTTGAAACAAATAAAATGGATGAAATTTGTAATATATTAAAGGAATACAGTGCAAGTGACTCTAATAATATAATTGATTTATTCAAAGAATATAGCGCTTGCACGAAAGATAAAACGGAGGTTCATTCGAGACTTAAAAAAATAAAATGTACTAAACTAATGGCCTTTGATGCTAACGGTTTGTACGCTTCCGCAATGTCGGATTTAGATAGCGAATATCCGAGAGCGGAAAGTGGTAGACCATTTCTACCGGAAGAAAATAAAGAATTTGTCAAGCTCTTTAATGAACAGAAATTCAGACCTAGAACTGCTATTTTAACAGTGTGGTTTGACTATCCCAAAAACATGTTCTTCCAACCGATACCAGCTAAAGATAAAATCACTTTCACGAATAAAGAAGGTAAAAAGGAAACTGGCACTAAAATCAGATTCAGAAATGGTTTCTGTCACGACGTTTTAACATCGGTCGATATTCAAGAAATAGTGAAAGCCGGTGGACGAATTATTAAAATATTAGATGGTATAGTTTACGAAGAAAATTTTAAAACTCCACCCTATAGAGATTATATTTTAATTTTGAGAGATCTAAGAAATAAATATAAACGAGAAGGTAATATCGTAGGTAGTAATTGCATGAAATTATTAGGCAATTCGTTGTATGGTAAATCTATTCAGAAGGATATAACTACATCGAGACATCTATGGAGTGAAGCGACTTTTAAAGCCAACTTCGATTCACACGTCAAAAGCTATGAAAAAGTATATGATGAATGAAGAAGAAAAAGAAATTTATTCCTCCTAAATCTACACGACTAACACATAGTCATTTGGGATCATTCGTTTTATCTTACAGTAAAAAAAATAATGAATAATTTTATTCGCGTGATAGATGGATTTTATAAGCCTGAAATATATACGGATACCGATAGTTTATACATTTCGTCTAGCAATTGGGATAAATTAAATGAAGCTGGGTTGGTGTCCGAAAATGATTATTGTCAATCTAGGGAGGCCCATTGGATTGAGACATTGAATACAGCAAGACCTATAGGACTAATTATTCATCATAATGTAGGCATAGCACCCTTTGTTGTCCCGTTTAATACAACCAGCAATCGAGCAAGCAAGATAGTTCATGCCCACTATAAGAGCCTTCAAGAGAAATTCCCCCATGTCTATAAGCAGAAAATGATAGTTGCATATTCAAAAAATAAGAACTTAAATGATAATATTGTTCATAGTAAACTAAAAACAATCAGTACATAACAGATACTGTACTTCTCGCCCATCGGGCGAGTTATTTTTTCTAATTTCAGATCAGAATAAGAACAGAAGAAAACCCTTAATCCTAATTTCTAAATAAAGTGTCTGCTCCACCCTAGGCCTGTACATTTGGGAGAATCAAACCCTCCCTCCCCCGAAATCTAATTATTTGCAAAATATTAATTTCATATGTTCCTATCAACACGAATCATCTAGTTTGGCAGCTAGGGAAAATCATCTAATCTACCAATGAATTTGAGAAAGATCGAGGATGTTAATATTGCAAAATACTCTAAAGATAATTGGGAATCTTTAAGACACAAATGAGAACCTAAAAGAGATACGTTATGTCTCGGAGCTTGTTTGATAAATACAATCAAGCAATGAAAGAAGTTGTATTTCAGAATATTTCCAATAATCTAACAGCTCCTTCTTTATCTTTAAAGGGTTGGTATTATTTATATCATTACGATAAAGAAATGATTGAAGAAGAATGGTATGAAACACACCGAAAAAGAAAACGTAGAAAAAGTTTACTCACATACTCACCCTTTTATAAGATATTTTATCAGACAAAGTATTAAAGGAGGAAGAGTTTCGGCAAATCGAAAATCATTTGAAACAAATAAAATGGATGAAATTTGTAATATATTAAAGGAATACAGTGCAAGTGACTCTAATAATATAATTGATTTATTCAAAGAATATAGCGCTTGCACGAAAGATAAAACGGAGGTTCATTCGAGACTTAAAAAAATAAAATGTACTAAACTAATGGCCTTTGATGCTAACGGTTTGTACGCTTC